TAGTCCTTAGTTCTATGTCTCTATGTTAGTGTAGACCTGCTTCCTGTTTGGATTTTGCTGTTTAGTTTGGACTTTGGACTGCTACACCAAGTGTAAGCCAGTGAGTTTCTGTTGGACTGTATTAAAATATCATCAACTGAACCTCCTTTGTTCTGGTGTCTGCATTTTGGGTCCACATCTCTACCTCCTGCCACTTCACTCAGCCTTTCTGACATCCAGTTCAGCTTCATTAATGCCTCCAGGCTGTCGCCTGAGTTCTCTTGCTCCTTCCCTGTCCAGGTCACTGGCCATCCACCTTTGAGCACCTGCTCATTTCTTCAGCTCACTCCACACTTGTCCTTGAATCCATTTTTTGGAACTTACTCCACCGACCTGATTTTTCATGGACTTTCTGTGACTTTACTGACTTCCGTCGGCGGGGGTATTGGTTGGTATGTGGTTGTGATTTAGATTTTTGTAAATTCCTATTTTATTGTGTTAAGTTGGTCCTCATGGGTATTGTTTTCACCTGTATCTCGTTATCTCCATCTTTTGTTGTCTGTCTAGCCTTCCAGTGATATCTTTAGTGTTTCTCTGAGTTATTTCCCCTATGGCTGGTTTCATAGACTTCCTTTCTGAGTTTTGGACTTGGATTATTTTCCTTACTGGATTTGTTTGCCTCAGTTCTGGAGTGCTTAGCTGGTTTCTTAACCCTTACCTACCTCAGTTACCATAAGCTTGTACCCTTTGGTTTGCTTTTCATTATAATTAAGTATACTAAACCTGCTCTGCCCGGGTCCAAAACCTCCTGTACCTGATTCATTGGAGAGCAGCTAAAACTGAACCTCCAGTTCCTGTTGAGGAGGATTTTTACTTCATACACGACACTGCATCCCATTAAAACAGGTAGCCCCGCCCTCGCTTTCGAGCACCAATCATGAGCAGCAGGGTGGCATGCAGCGCTGACTGTGTTAAAAGGGAAGTGAAGCTGAAGGCGTCACTCTGCTGTTCAGACTGACTGACAGTCGACATCCAGACAACATGAAGGCTTCATCTGTGTCTCTGCTGCTCGGTGAGTCCAACACATCCATCCATCCATCCATCCATCCATCCATCCATCACAGCTCCAACACATACTTCAGTGTCTGCACTCATACAGAGGAAAAAGAAGACGAAACTATTCCTCTTTAATAGAAGTGATAGAAAAAGCTTTTTGCTGAACGCTGCAGTCACATGGTTCATTTCTTCCACCATCAAGAAGCTTTCTGTGTTTTGATCAGTTTGTTTGACAGGGAACAGGCTCACTGATCAGCAGCTGATAACAACTTCCAATGACTTTCACTGAATTTCTGTCCTCCCTGTTAAAAAGATATTTCATAATTCATACAACATAATAAATATGCACATGATGTTACTGTCCAGCAATAAATAATGCTACGTGCCAACACATGCTAGTTAGCTACAATCCAAACTAAATAAATAAAAACAACATGCAAAGAAAGGAAAAGCCGAGGATGAAGACAGATAATTAATGAGGTTAAGGTAGAATCAAGGATATTCAGTACGTACAGCCTCGTCTCATCAGGCCCTTAATGTTCAACTTCACCTCCTTTATTGTCAGATGCTCAACAATTACGGTGAAGCAGTCGTCTGCAATGAAATTCTTAATTCTCAGGCTCCTCAAACAATGCTCACACTAAGTGTAGAAGGAAAAGTGCAAGTAAAATGAAAGAATCTGAGACATAAAATAGTGCTGAAGTTAAAATATAGGAATAGAATATTTTCAGAAATTAAATATAATATGCAAAGATCAACCATAACATTATGACCACTGACAGGTGAAGAGAGTAACACTGATTATCTCGTTATCATAGCACCAAACCAAATGGTCAAGCGTAGCGATTTGAGTGACTTTGACAAGGGCCTAACTGTGATGGCTAGACGACTGGATCAGAGCTTCTCCAAAATGGTCTGCAGTGGTCATTACCTATCAAAAGTGGTCTAAGGAAGGTAAGGTGGTGAACCAGCGACAGGGAAATGGGTGGCCAAGGCTTATTGATGCTTGTGGGGAGTGAAGGCTGGCCGATGTGGTCCCATTCAACAGATGAGTTACTGTAGGTCAAACTGCTGAATGCTGAAACTGGTTCTGATAGAAAGCGCTGTTGAGAGCTCAACCAGCAGTCTTATGGTCTGTGAGATGAAGCTGTCCCTGACTCTATTGCTGCAGGTAGGGGTGTGGCACAAAGTTCTGGACCTTTACATAGGCATTCTGTATGGGACTTTCCCAGCATCTACGGCTATTCATAGTATCTCTATGGGCCCTCCTCACATGAGGGCCATGCATAATTAGTCCCCTTTCCCCTCGTTGGCCTTCTTCCTGCACTGCTGGGTGTAGAGGTCCTTCATGGATGAACGGGTCCCGTTCATGGATGTGCTGAGCAGTTTTCACCACCCTCTGGTGGTCGAGGACAGCTGCCTTAGACAGCTTGTAGCTGTGATCAGAGGTGTTTTTAGCACCACTGAAGTTCTTCTTTTCACACAGGAAAGCTCAGCTGAGACATTCTGATCTTATCTGGCTTTCATGTGTCACTTCCTCTCTAACTGTGACATTTCCATGGTTATTAATGTGGACACTGAGTTTCATCAAACCTGATGAAGAATCAGAAAAACAATCAAACTGCTGATTCCTGAAACACTGAATACTGGAGACACCAGTTCCAGTCAGGTTTCCCTCACACTTCTCTCTTTATTATTTCTGATCAGACTTCAGTCCCCTGAGATTACATCTGTCATTCTGGTTAGTGTTTACGTTTCACTCCAGGCCAACGGGCAGGAGACACAACGCCGACCAGATACAGAGTGCATCTTTAAAGAGGTGGTATGCTCATTTTCAGGTTCAAAATCTTATTTAGAGGTTGTACCAGAGCAGGTTTACATGGTTATATTTTGTCATACTGCACATTGGTGCAGCTCCTCTTTTCAGGCTGTGTTGAAGGCTTCGTTTTAGCTATGGCATCTTGTCTCTAAATGATCTTTGTTGGGAGTTTCACATGCTCAGTTCCTAGTTAAGAACTACTAGCCAATCAGAAGCAGAGAAGGGTGGGCCAATGAGAAGCCTGTAAACACCGCTTCGTTTCAGCTGTACATGTTGCCGACCGGCTTGGCAACATAGACTTGGATTGGAACTCCCTTTGGGCTTTTCCACTTGGCAAACCTATTCCATGCACAAAAAAGATAAGATATAACTAAATGAAGGAGAGAGAAAAGCCTAAAAAGTATAATACTACCTCTTTAATGAAACTCTGGGTCTGAAGAGTGAAGCCAGTGCTGAAGAGCCATAAAAGCTTCATTCTCTCCAGCAGCCAGCAGGGGGCGACTCCAGCAGCTGCAGAAAGAAGTGTGATTGTATAGAAGTCTATGAGAAAATGTTTCTACTTCTCAGCTGATTTATTCCTCAGTAAACACTTTCCTGATGAGTTTATGGTCTCAGTCGCTAGTTTCAAGTCTTCTTCAACACAGCATGATGTTCATTTAGTAAATTATGGTCCCATTTAGAGGAACAGAGACCAGGAAGCAGGGGAGGCTTTAGGGCGGGGCTACCTTGTGAACTTGTTTTTGGGTGCTGTTTCACTTCATGAAAGTTAACTGCAACATTTTAGTCCTAAAAACGTCTTGTTCAGCATTCAGTTGTACTAAAAGATTTTCCTGTAGGAAAATTTAGTTTACAGCCTGTTTTTCGCTAGCCAAAATTAAAATCACCGTTAATATGACAGTTAACGTTAACTAGGGATGCACCTTGCTAGCCAAGCTAGCTAGCTCCACCCTCTCATCCCAAGATGCCAAACTCAAGGATTCAAAATGGTAGTCCACAAACCAACGGGTGATGTCACCGTGGCTACATCCACTTCTTTTATACAGGCTATGACTGAAACAACAATTTACAATTAGTCAAATAATTAAAATGGAGATAAAAAAAAAAAACGTTCGCTTGTTATTTTATTCTTGAATTCAGACCGTTCATTGAATAAATTAAAAGTTTTAATACCTCATTTCACTGGCCACTATAATGACCCCTGACCTTCAGTGGCCTCTGACCTTCAGTGACCCCTGACCTTCAGTGGCCTCTGACCTTCAGTGACCCCTGGCCTTCAGTGACCCCTGACCTTCAGTGACCTCTGACCTTCAGTGACCTCTGACCTTCAGTGACCCCTGTCTTCCTGTTGCAGGTGTGTCTGTGCTGCTGCTGTCTGGACTGACTGATTCTGCAGGTGAGCTGATGGAAGAGAAAACAATCACTGACTCTCTCTCTGTTGAAGATGGACAGATGGTTCTGGTCTGATGGACTAACTCTGTTTTCTTCTTCTTCAGATTCTCAGGTTATTCTGGAGATTTCTGCACTTCCTGTGGTGGCAGGAAGTGATGTCACTCTGCGCTGTAGAAGCAAAGATCAGGTATCACTCGAAGCCTTTTTCATCAGGGATGGTTCTAAACTTGGATCTGGACCTGAAGGACAGTTTACCTTCAGGAACGTCCAACAGTCTGATGAAGGTCTCTACTGGTGTTATTTTGATCAGACTGAAGTATCTCCTTGGATATGGCAAAGTGTCAGAGGTCAGGACACTGACATCACTTCCTGTTTATACTGTGTGTGTTAGCGGTAGGAGAGGTGGTGGTTATGGCAGCGTGAAGTCTGCCTCCTGTATGAGGTCAGGATCTAACTGTCTGTTTATGACTCTGGGGGCCTCATTTATTAAACTTTACGTAGGATTAAAGTCAGACGTTTGCGTACAGATCAAAACAGAAAGGGTTTAAATCTTCAGATGTTTAACAGTCCATACAGCCCGCGCTGATTTCCCTTTATGAATACAATCAGTTCAAAATGTGGCCCAGGTGAGCAGCTCCTTGTCCCGCCCTTTTAACGGCCATAGCTGCCTAGAAATAATAATTAATATTAATACATGCTGACTGCATGAAGATAAAGACGGCAAATTGGGAGAGAAAAGCTAAAGCTCCGCTGAACCTCCTGCTCAAGGGGCCGTGCAGATGAAGTCCTGAACGCAGAGACTCCATCGACTGAATTAACGAGGCTGCCGAGGACTTAAAGGAAATAAGACTTGTCTTGTGTGACAGAAGCTGGACTCTGAAAGATCTGTCACTCAAATGTTTTCTATTCATTTAAGAGTTACCGTGGAGGACCGCACGTTTTTTAGAAATCCCAAAGTTTGCTTAGAAAGTGGAGAACGCCGTCTTTTATCTGCACGCTACGTTTAGAAATGAGGCCCTGGTCTGACAGGTCTAACTCTGAATATGGTTCTGGTCTGATGGACTAACTCTGTTTTCTTTCTTCAGATGATGATGCTCAGGTTATTCTGGAGATTTCTGCACTTCCTGTGGTGGCAGGAAGTGATGTCACTCTGCGCTGTAGAAGCAAAGATCAGGTCGCACTCGAAGCCTTTTTCATCAGGGATGGTTCTAAACTTGGATCTGGACCTGAAGGACAGTTTACCATCAGGAACTTCCAACAGTCTGATGAAGGTCTCTACTGGTGTTATTTTGATCAGACTGCTGAATGTCCTCGGAGACGGCTGAGGGTCACAGGTCAGGACACTGACATCACTTCCTGTTTATATGATATGAACTAATGTTGCGTTCCAGACTGCTCGGAACTCGTCAAAAGTGAACGAAAAACATAGCTGACCGTGACAAAGTGTACACACAGTTAAACCCTTAGCAGTTCCTTTGGTGTTAATTAAAAGGATGGCCGTTTAAATGAAAAGAACTGACATAAATAGTCTATACGTTACTAGTTAACTGTGTACCCGTCTAGCTACATCAGATGGTAATCCTCAACAGTCAATGTTGTAGGCTATGCCTAAACGTCCGACTATTAACATTCTACTGACTGCCCTTTATGCAGAGAAGATGCCTTTATGAGATTCTTTATTGTAACCAGCTACCTAACAAAATTGGCAACATACACTCCCCTCCATAAGTACTGGACCAGTAAGGCTTCGTTTTGTTGTTCACTGAAGACATTTGGGTTTAAGATCAAAAGATGAGACAAGAGTTCAGAATTTCAGCTCTCATTCCCTGGTATTCACATCTAGATGTGTTAAACAACTCAGGACAAACCACCGTTTGTATTAGAGCACAGCATTCTGAAGTGAGCAAAAGTAAAGGAACAAATAATCTTAAAGTAAATAACATTTGATATTTGGTGGCAGAACCCTCTCTTGCAATAACTGCCTCCAGCCTGCGACCCATCGACATCACCAAACTGTTGATGCTGTTCCAGGCTTTTACTGCAGCTTCTTTCACTTCTTGTTTGTTTCGGGGTGTTTCTCCCTTCAGTCTCCTCTTAAGGAGGTGAAATGCATCTATTGGGTTCAGGTCAGCTGATTGACTTGGCCAGTCTAAAACCTTTTTCCCCTGATGAAGTCCTTTGTTTTGTTGGCAGTGTGCTTTGGCTCATTGTCCTGCTGCATGATAAACTTCCTCCCCATTAGTTTCAATGCATTTCTCCATAAATTGGCAGACAAAATGTTTCTGTCCACTTCTGGCCGGCAACAGTTCAACGTTTAGTCCTGATGGTAAGATGTGGAACAATGATGTTGTGGACTTGAGTAACTTCTGCTAGGTTATGGTCTCAGTCTGAAGTGGCTTTGATTTGGATCACACTACCTTGTTTCTTACGACCCGCCCTTCTCTGCTTCTGATTGGCTAGTAGTCCTTACCTGGGAACTGCGCATGTGCGACTCCCCACAAAGATTTTGTACAAGTAAGATGCATCACTCTGTAGCTCAAGAGTGGAGCGTTCAACACAGGGTGGAAAGAGGAGCTGCAGCAATGTGTAGGATGACAAAAATATGGTGTTTTTTGAAAATTAAACCATGTAAACCTGTTCTGGTACAACTTCTTATTAAGATTTTGAACCTGAAAATGAGCAGAATACCACCTCTTTAAGTTAGAGGTCGGAAATTTCCCAAGTTCCCAGTTGCCTGGAACGCAGCATAACCTGCTGACCTGATAATAAACTGATCACTGCATTGATCCAGGTTCTACTGATCTCTCCTCCAGGCTCTGGTCTGATGGACTAACTCTGTTTTCTTCTTCTTCAGATTCTCAGGTTATTCTGGAGATTCCTGCACTTCCTGTGATGGCAGGAAGTGATGTCACTCTGCGCTGTAGAAGCAAAGATCAGGTCGCACTCGAAGCCTTTTTCATCAGGGATGGTTCTAAACTTGGATCTGGACCTGAAGGACAGTTTACCATCAGGAACGTCCAACAGTCTGATGAAGGTCTCTACTGGTGTTATTTTGATCAGACTGCTGAATCTCCTCGGATATGGCTGAGGGTCACAGGTCAGGACACTGACATCACTTATAAACATATGAACTAAGTGTGCTTCTCAATTCCCTTATTTGTCAAATCCTCATTCCTCACTTGAACCTGAGTTTCGCTCCTTGCAGACCATCCCAAAGCTCTTATTTGGGCACGAGGATTCAGGATACACAAGTCCATCCTTCGCAGAAGTCTTTTACTGACCGACACGCCCCCTTATTGGATTAGTTGTTACTGATTGGACGCTGCAGCAGCACAAACTGATCTGATACAACATAAAATGAGTTTCATACCAATTGAAGACAGATAACAGATAAAAAGTGTATCAAAGTTTTATATTTTATTCACTGTGTAGTTAAAATCTGTGATCAATGTAGGTCTGAACAACTAAAGGAGCACAAACAACTTTCTGCATTTAGTAAAACAGATGACTCTGTTGTTTCTCCCATTAACCTTTATTATAGAGACATGTGCAGTCAGAGAAAATGTCAGAGAGATTTGGAGAGTCTGTCAGTCAGCAAGAAACACTGTTTTCATCATTTATCGTTATTTCCATTCAGTCACATGAGGCTGATCATTCCTGACTGTTTAGTCCAAATAGACGACAGTAAAACGTAGTAAACTAGTCGTACTAAACAAGTCACTAAATTGCACCAAAGTCTCTGAAGAAGTAAGAAAAGGAAAAGAAACCTGCACATGCAGCTGATCTCAGATAACATCTGATGAAAGCAGCCAGCAGGTCTGTGAGTAAAATCAGCTGATGTAATGTATGAATGAAAGCGTCATCATTTCAATTTCCCCTGAAACATTTTGCCTAATAAATCAAAGGACAACATGATCAAATTTCAATAATTAGTCAATGATTAATCACAATCAGAATATCACTACGTACAGCGATAACTGTGAGACTTTATTAGTATCAGCATACGTGTGCAGACACAAGCTCCATCAGAAGTCTCTCCAGCTGTTAAAGCTGCTCAGCCATCTTCAGAAACAGACGTCGCTTCACGTGACGCTTTGGAGGAAAGAACGTCTTATTTCTCGTTCCTGTGGGCGGGACTGAAACACAAGGAAATGACGCAAGTGAAGGACACTTGGGTGCAATTAAGATAATTGAGAAGCATCCTAACCTGCTGACCTGATAATAAAATGATCACAGTATTGATACACGTTCTATTGATTTCTCCTCCAGGTCCTACTGCCCCTTCAACTTCTACTTGTACATCCGCTCCTCCTTTTCCTTCTTCTTCTTCTTCTTCTTCCTCCTCCTCCTCCTCCTCCTCCTCTCCTTTCTCCTCCCCAGCTTCCCCCCCTCTTTCTCCTCCACTTGGTGCAGCTGTGGGTTCTCTGGTTCTTCTGGTTCTTCTGGTTCTGGTCCTGGTCGGAGTTCTGTTGCTCCGCAGGAATCAAACAGGTATGAAAGCTGTCAGACTCACCTGATGTGAACAGACTGGAACCAGACTGTGTCTGATCCAGTCAGCAGGTCTGTACTGAACTACAACCTGGGACTGGTTGGACTCCTGTCCAATCAGTGACGTCCTCAGGACACCTGGGACCCGTCTGTCACACAGCTCCGTGAGAAATGCTCTCTGATCTCCATTTCCAATAACCTGACTGATCTGTGTTTGTTTCCTGCTGATCCAGATGCTGTCAGATCTGCTCAAAGGAAACACACTGCAGGTACACACACACCTGTTCTACACCTGAGCAGTGATGGTGAAGCATGAGTGAAGCAGCTGCTGCTTGATGTCTGAACTGAAACTCTGCTTCATCAACTGGACTTTTAATTTCCACTGGTGTTCAGTTTCAGGATGGAAATGTTCTCCTTACTTTAAACCTTCCTGACTTTGATTCTCTGACAAGTTTCTTTTCTCTACAGAGAGTTTGTTGCTGTTATTTCTGTTACTGCCAACATCACACATTTTAGAGGCGGACAATATAATCTTAACTCAGTGTCCACTTAGAGCTTTTCCAGAGCTTTCAGCCACATCTCATGGTCTTCATCAGCTCATGGCGTTTGCTTCGTAGTTCTGGAGATGCTTCAGGTGTGGTCATGTGAGGTACAGACCCTCAGTCCCATGGTAACAGCTGCTTGTATATGGGGGGAGATGTGATGTACCTGTAGGTCACATGATGACACCTGAGCCAACTCCATTTACTGATGAACACCATGAGATGCTGCTGAAAGCTCAGTTAGATATTTTCCACTAACTGTTTATATATTTGAATACAAAGTTAACCTGCTGACCTCTGACCTTTAGTAAACCTTGTTCTCCTGTTGTAGGTCTGGCTGTGCTGACTGCTGCAGGTGAGCTGATGGAAGTCTGTCTGTCTGTCTGTTGACCTCTGACCTTTAGTGACCTCTGTCTACCTGTTGCAGGTGCGGCTGTGTTGCTGAGTGGACTGCTTGTTTCTGCAGGTGAGGTTGTGAAAAGTGAAAGATACAGAAAGAGTCGAACAGCAACAGAGGTTTAACCCTAATAATGATATCAGAATAAGATCAACTGGGACAAAACATTAACTAGAATGGACATTTCCTAAAGAAAATGCATGTGAGAGCTTGTAGCCGTTAGTGCTGTACAGCCTTGGTCAGCAAATAAAGTTCCAGTTTACTGCATGTGGTTAACATGCCCTGAGTAGGATTTGAACCACTGGACTATTAAGATACACCATTAGAAGAAGGTTTTTACTTGCTTAATCTGATTTGGGTTGCTGATTTGAATGGAAAGCAGTGAAGCCAGTTTTGGACCAATAAAATACTACTACAGGGCTACTTCCTTTTGGCATCAGTGTCTACTACGCATGATCGCGCAGCAAAACCGTGGTTTGATGACGTAGAGCAAAAGCAGAAACACCGTAATTCAAAAGTCTTCTGGTTAGATTCACACAGAGTTTATAATCCAAGCAATACGGTTACATATCTCATGTGCGACAGGATGTCACAGGGTTTCGACGTCATTTTTGGGCCTACATGGAACCGTCTTTTGTCGGCTTCACTGTTTGATCTCTGGCTTACCCCCTTGAACAAACTGAACATTGTGTTGGTAGTCATTATGGTCAAACACCACTCAGGTGTGTGAAAGATTGAAGCTGTGACTAATTAACACTCTTGCCCAAGCTGGGGATCAAACTAATTCAATTCAATTCAATTTTATTTATATAGCGCTAAATCACAACAACAGTTATCTCACAGCGCTTTTCATAAAAGAGCAGGTCTAGACCTTTTAAGAGGCAGAAACCATCGAGCAGAACCATGGCTCAGGGTGGGCGGCCATCTGCCTCGACCGGTTGGGGTGAGAGAGAGAGAGAGAGAGGGAGAGAGAGGGAGAGAGAGGGAGAGAGAGAGAGAGGGCAGGAGAGGAACAGAGAGAAAAAGAGAGGGATGTAAGGAGAGAGAGAGGGGAGGGAGGCAGCCTACACAATATACACACAGAGGTACAGACAGTAAAGGTGATGTTGCTACAGACTGAATGAAAAATGGTACAGATATTTATAGTAGTGTTAATGGTAACCATCGTAATGTTAATGATTATAATAACAATAAGACTAGTAACAATAGTCGTTGCAGCAGAGGGTGTCGAGCAGGAACACGGGGGCAGCAGGTGACCCGCAACCACAGATCCAGACTCCACAGCTCCAGAGAAAACCTGCAGGAAGTGATAGGAGGAGAGAGGAGAGGGACGAGAAAGCACAAGACTACCAGAAAGGGGAGAAGTTGTGTTAGTAACATGCAATAATGGGATGAGGTTGCATACAGAGGGAGAGAAAGTAGAGGAGAGAGGAGCTCAGTGCATCATGGGAAATCCCCCGGCAGTCTAGGCCTATAGCAGCATAACTAAGGGATGGTTCAGGACTCACCTGAGCCAGCCCTAACTATAAGCTTTATCAAAGAGGAAAGTCTTAAGCCTACTCTTAAATGTGGAGATGGTGTCTGCCTCCTGAACCCAAACTGGAACCTGGTTCCACAGGAGAGGAGCTTGATAGCTGAACGCTCTGGCTCCTAGTCTACTTTTGGAGACTCTAGGAACCACAAGTAACCCTGCATTCTGGGAGCGCAGTGCTCTGGTGGGGTAGTAAGGTACTATGAGCTCTTTAAGATAAGATGGTGCCTGACCATTAAGAGCTTTGTAGGTAAGAAGAATGATTTTAAATTCTATTCTGGATTTTACTGGAAGCCAATGCAAAGAAGCTAAAACAGGAGAAATGTGATCTCTTTTCCTGGTTCCTGTCAGAACACGTGCTGCAGCATTCTGGATCAGCTGAAGAGTCTTAATGGACTTTTTCGAGCAGCCTGATAATAAAGAATTGCAGTAATCCAGCCTAGAAGTAACAAATGCATGGACTAGTTTTTCTGCATCATTTTTAGACAGGATGTTCCTGATTTTCACAATATTACGTAGGTGAAAAAAGGCGGTCCTTGAAATTTGCTTAATGTGAGACTTGTCCTGATCAAAGATAACTCCAAGATTCCTCACAGTGGTGCTGGAGGCCAGGGCGATGCCATCCAGGGAAACTATATCTTTAGATAACGCGTCACGGAGGTGCTTAGGCCCCAGAGCAATAACTTCAGTTTTATCTGAGTTTAACATGAGAAAATTACAGGTCATCCAGGTTTTAACATCCTGAAGGCACATTTGAAGTTTAGTTAACTGATGAGTTTCATCTGGCTTGATCGATAGATATAACTGAGTATCATCTGCATAACAATGAAAGCTTATGGAATGTTTCCTGATAATATTGCCTAAAGGAAGCATATATAAAGTGAAGAGGATTGGTCCGAGGACAGATCCTTGAGGAACTCCATGACTAACTTTGGCATGCATGGAGGACTCATCGTTAACATGTACAAACTGAAATCGATCTGATATAGGACTTAAACCAGCTTAGAGCAGTTCCTTTAATGCCAATGAAATATTCCAGTCTCTGCAATAGGATCTGATGGTCAATGGTATCAAATGCAGCACTAAGATCTAATAAAACCAGTACAGAGACAAGTCCTTTGTCTGATGCAATAAGGAGGTCGTTAGTAATTTTCACCAGTGCTGTCTCTGTGCTATGATGAGCTCTAAATCCTGACTGAAAATCCTCAAATAAACTATTGCTCTGTAGAAAGTCACACAGCTGTTTAGCAACTGCTTTCTCCAGAACCTTAGAGAGAAATGGAAGGTTAGATATAGGTCTATAGTTGGCTAAAACATCCGGATCAAGTTTGGGCTTTTTCAGAAGAGGTTTAATTACAGCTACTTTAAAGTACTGTGGTACATAGCCTGTTGATAAAGATAGATTGATCATATCTAGTATAGAAGTGCTGACTAAGGGTAAAACATCTTTAAGCAGCCTAGTCGGGATGGGGTCTAAGAGGCAGGTTGATGGTTTAGATGAAGAAATTATTGAAGTTAGTTGGTAAAGATTGAGGGAAGCAAAACAGTCTAAACATATATCTGGTTCTACAGCTGTTTCTAAGGTTCCTGAGTTAAAGATAAGTCGGTGCCAGTTGAGGGCAGGTCTTGGTGAATTTTGTCTCTAATAGCTAGAATTTTATCATTAAAGAAGCTCATGAAGTCGTAACTACTGAGAGCTATGGGAATATTGGCTCAATAGAGCTGTGACTCTGTCAGCCTGGCTACAGTGCTGAAAAGAAACCTGGGGTTGTTCCTATTTTCCTCTAATAATGACGAGTAGTACGCTGCTCTGGCATTAGGAGGGCCTTCCTATAAGTTTTAAGACTATCTTGCCAAATTAAACGAGAATTTTCCACTTTGGTGGAACGCCAATTCCTCTCAAGTTTCCGCGATATTTGCTTTAATTTGCGAGTTTCAGTGTTATACCATGGAGCTAACCGTCTTTGTTTTAGTATTTTCTTTTTAGAGGGGCTACAGAGTCGAGTGTCATTCGCAGCGAGCCTGCAGCACTATCAACAAGATGATCGATTTGGGAGGGACTGAAATTAGCATAGGAGTCCTCTGTTACTTTGTGACTAGATAATGTATTTAGAGCTGATGGAATCGCATCCTTAAATTTAGCTATGGCACTATCAGACAGACATCTTGTAGTTCAGTAATACAAACTCAAAAGTTATCAAACAGTGGTCGGATAAAGAGGGATTCTGTGGAACACCACTAAATGTTCAATTTCAATACCGTACACCAAAACAAGGTCGAGGTGTGGTTAAAACAGTGAGTGGGTTCATGAACACTCTGAGAGAAGTCAATGGAATCTAACAGAGAGATAAACGCAGTACTAAAGCTGTCATTCTCAACATCCACATGAATATTAAAATCCCCTACAATAATAACTTTGTCCGTTTTAAGGACTAAAGTTGACAAAAACTCTGCAAATTCAGTAAGAATTCAGAGTACGGGCCAGGTGCTCGGTACACTATAACAAAAGAATTGGTTGCAGTGATTTCCAACTTGGGTACGAAAGACTAAGAACAAGACTTTCAAATGAGTTATAGTTTAGTTTAGGTTTAGAGCTGATTAGTAGGTAGAGTCGAAGATAGCTGCAACTCCACCTCCTCGGCCTGTGCCTCGAGGAATGTGAGTATTAATATGACTGGGAGGGGTGGATTCATTTAGGCTAACATATTCTCCATCACCCAGCCAGGTTTCAGTAAGACAAAATAAATCAATATCATAATCTGATATTAGTTCATTTACTAGTACACCTTTAGAAGAGAGAGATCTGATGTTTAAGAGTCCACATTTAACTCTCCTATTAGTTTGCACTATTGCTCTTGTGGTTTTAATTTTTATGAGGTTTTTATGCTCAGCTCCTCTTCTGTTTACCTTTTTAAATAATTTCGATGGTCGGGGGCAGACACCGTCACTATAGGATTTTCACTAAGTAACTCCTGAAATGGAGGAGCAAGAAGTGTGTTAGACTGCGACTCTGCGTAGGGTTTTGGGTGGGTAACTGCTGAAAAAGAAGGGCAGAGAAGTGTGTTAAACTGCGACTCTGCCTCCTGGTCTCAACTCTGGGTTGTCATGGATTTGGTCCACTAATAAACTTGGCCAGATTTCTAGAAATGAGAGCTGCTCCTTCCCAAGTGGGATGGATGCCGTCTCTCCGGATCAGACCAGGTCTGATAACCGCTTGTTGTTGATGAAATAGAGCATTTACCTTAAAAATGAAGCTTTTCAGCTGTGATTTTTGTATTTTAGCATTTTGAGCATGAGCTAATATGGCATGTTTCTAAACATGAAGGAAGATTTTGCACGTTTAAGAATAAGGAAGGTGAGGAGAAGTCAGTCTGCAGTTTAATTTTTTGCTGTATTAGAGTGAATGAGACCTTGACTGTGGGTTATCTATTAATTAAGTTGTAAATCTAAAATACTATACCTCCATTAAGGAAGATGTTGCATTTTGACAAAGAAAAGGCTTATGGCTGCATTTTGATGCCTACTATGTGCTTATGGAGATGAATATGCGTGACCAGGAGCAGTTTAGATAAACATCTGGTCTGCCAAAAGCTCTGCTCCATGTGACACTGATGAAATCTCCAAAAACTGTAAATCCCTTCGCTTTGAAAATAAATATTTCCAAAACTAAACATCTTTTGCAAATGCCAGGTACAAATTGGAACAATCAACACTTTTTCAGTAGTTGAAAACGTGAATGGAGTCTGTCGCTGCACATATGCTGTAGCAATAAGCTTGTTGAGTCTGTGATCCCATAGAAACTGATTCATTTTAAAATTCATAAAAATCATAAAATCAACCATTACAGTTATCAGCAATCCAAGTAATTAAATTTTAAAGCTGAACTTGCAGCTCTCAAACTAATAATAAAGTAAAAAGGTCAAAAGTTCTTAAAGCTTAGATTCTCACACTGAATATTTTACTGAAAGTCATATTATTACATGAGACCACGACGAATGACATTTGGTTTGTTGATCCTTCTGTGTGAAATGAACATAAAATGAAGGTATAAATCAGTGTTGATGAGATGATTCCACCAAACTGTCCAGACCCCTCCTTCCTGTTATAAGTTGTCCCTCCCATTGAATCATTGTAAACACAACTATTTAATTCTTCAACTTTCTATTTTATGTTTATGATTCTTGACTTTTAATGTTCTTGTTTTTTATTTTCTTTATTGTTACTCACAAAAAAGACAAATTCCTTGTGTGTTGTAAAACTACGGAAGCCCTAAGCGGCCATAGATTTTACTCCGTTTTCATGTGAAAACAGGATAATTTCCTCGTGATCTTGAGATAACAAATCATAGCTGAATACAGGGGTCGGTAGGTTTGTTTCTTTAGGATGATTTCAGAAAAGTTTCCAGTGAAATTGGTGAGCTCAGTTGGCACAGGATTGTGTGCACGGGAAAACAAACTTTTTTCGATACTTATCCTGTTATCAAAGGGAAACAGAGTAAATACAACATTTGAATCGATGGGCACTTAGGGCTTCCGTAAAAACCTACTTGGCAACAAACCTGACTGTGATTCTTGTTCTCCTCCGTCAGACTCCTCTCTGTCTGTGCTCAGACTCTGCTGCCATCTAGTGGTCTTCTGTCCATACTGCGTCTCTACTGGTCTGATGCTGTCCATCTGCTGCAGCAGGAAGACAGGAAACAAACCAGCCGTCTCCATGGAGATGACCCAGCGGGTTGGAGGAAGTGACGAATTGGATGGCGATTATGATGACATCACCGCTGATGTCACCACTGAGCACGCCTTCTGAGCTGTGAACAGAGTGACAGCAGCTGTCTTTAACAATAACATGATGGATCTGAAGTCAGCTCCTGGATCAGTTTGAATATGTGAAAATACTGATAATCATCATCATGTGTTTTCTTAAATTTTCAGTGGTCAGAAATATAGTGTAGAGTTATAAATAAACACATAAAGTGCTAGCTTCCGTAGATTAGCAGACTCTGTATAACCAGTGAATAAGTGTGTTGCTTAGTTTCTGACCGTCTACAGATGGTGACAACTGACAAGAGGAAGCAGCAGGAAGTGTCTTCTGAACAGCTTCATGGCTTTTTAGACCCAGAAATTCTGTTTGGTTTCTTTATTCTCTTCTCTTCTATCTCAAAGTGTTTCTGGACGTAGGCTTTGTATGTTAAGCTGTTAAGCTTTGCTAAATAAAACTAGGTAGATCATTTTAATGTATTGAAAGGTCGATGATTCTCTGACCCCGATCCTTTTATCCCCTGATCCAACTTTTCCTAAACAACATTTCAGTAACGCTTCTTAATTTCTAACAATTCTCTAAAATGTTGCCAATCTTTGTTCCTCCAGAGAGGGAGTAGCAGCGCAGGTGTTAGCAGGGGCGGATTGGCTATTGGGAATTGTGGGAACAATCCTGAACAGCTGATCTATTTTAGGCCGAACCAGCCGGTTTTCAAGAGTTTTTATTTTTCAGTTTCTTATGTTCAACTTTAAAATGATTTGCGACCGCGTTGGCCGGTCAGCTGCAGTGTACACGGTCTGTGTCTTTTAGACTGGGCCAAACCTATACCTTCATACTGGGGTACAGGCGGCCCCTCCCAACTCGGACCGATCCTCTTATTTTCTGAAATCTGATTGGCTCAATGGCGCCGATGAAAGGAGTTTACTTTCCAGCAAGGACAAGTTTAATCTCTTTATGTGATCTTGGGGCTGAACTCAGCCCAGTGTTTTGTGACAAGCACAACAGAGGAGGTACATTGTTGAAAAGAAAGAAAGAGGAAAAGGAAATGTGTGGTGCTGAACATAAAAGACAGAAATGTTGGCACAAGAGGCAACTAAATGCATAACTTACCCGACCTCTTCCTTAGTGGAACGCTGCTGTGGCAGCGCGATGCGGATGAGGCAGGAACCAGCGCAGGTACTGATAAGTAATCCATTTATTATAACCTCAGATAATTTATATGCATTCATGTAGGCATAGAGGCTATATTATATATTTATATATATTATAAACAACAGTTGAAGGGAGAAGGAACAGGAGGACTGTAGGAGAAACACGAGGAACAGAAGCAGGAGTAGGAGGACAATGGAAACAGAAACAGTGGCAGGTACAGGATGTGTGCAGGGCAATCATCCATAGATAGAATAAGAAAATGGATTATTGTTAGTTATATTTATTACTGATCTCCTTAACATCCATATGTAGCTGCACAATCAGGACAAGCAGAGTCAGGGTCCGGCACAGGGGAGCTGAAGCTGAGGGATTTGATTCTATTTTATGAGACTGCATTGTAGTTTCTGATCATATTTAACTATTTTAGCCTTCTGACTGACTCAGGCTTGCCTAACCTGGTCTTGTTCAGTGCAGTGGCGCCTTTCTTATTCAAACTTAAGAGGCAGGTGTAATAAAAAGTTTCTTGAAGGTCATCATAATGAAAGTGACTGTATGCAAGTAAACCACTATTTATTGAAATAACTGCGCCCCACACAGCGTTCGTCTCAAAGTCCCGGGCTGAATTTCAGTCCCAGTACATCCTTGAGTGTTGGGACAGGAGCATGAAGCAGAGGAGAAGCCTAGTACGTGGGGTGAGCCCTCCTCTGTCTTTTGATACTCTATCAGATAATTATATTCTTTAGGACTCATGAGAGCTTGTATATTTTTATTTATTTAACCAGACGATGTCATTGAGATTTAAAACCTCTTTTCCAAGAGAGACCTGGCCAAAAAAGCAGCATATGGACAAAGACACAGTTACAAATATGAACACGAGCACACGCACAACAACAAAGAACAATTAACAAGACCCTTATGATAGATTAACAAATGACATTAGACCACTTAAAAGTACAATTTATACATACTGTAAGTTTAAAGGATTTAGTTATTTTAAAAGCAGTCACAGTGATTCACAATGATATAAATATCGCTTTGTGGTTAAAGACACTAAAGTAGACATTCATTCATTCATTGATTCAGAAGTTGATCTTGTCCTGTTTGGCAAGAAGGCCGAACCAAAGATAAGTAAGTGAGAGATAAAAGCTCACCCATTGGGAGTAATTCATAGGGTGATGTTGAGGTGGTGTGATTTGTAAGTCAGAAGGTGTTCCGGTTCAACTTTTCGATTCAGAGTGAATGTCTAGAAGAGAATGTCTAGAATTGACTTCGGAGGCAACTGGATGTGGTTTTGGTAGAACCACTGCCTCTAAAACTTTAAACCAAATTTATATAATGGCCATGTAATTGTCCATTTCCAGCCAATGGGCCCCAAGCTATGCTCTTCAGTCACAGTCCACATTTTATTTGCAGAAAACGGCATCCTAAGGGGAAGTACTATCAGCTATGACATGAGCTAACTGTGTGCCCTAACATTAGGTGTGTGACAACTTGTGTGAGAAGTGACTGTTTGCTGATAAAACAGTGATACTAAAGAGGTTAAAATTCATTCTCCTGACCTTTTCAAATGGTTTCCAACAATGATTTTTCTGTGTAACAAACCATCTGACACAATCAGGTTAGCAGTTGCTGGAAGTGTTCGGCTGGGTGCACTGTCATCCCGAGGCCACAAGCCCTGGCTAGAGCGAGCTGCTGACGTTGCTGGAAGTGGCAGCAGAGGGCGCAAACATCCCAGTGTAGGAGTACCTTTTGGAGCCAGCAGCTGTGGCTATTGGAAGCGGGCAGTAGGAGTCACTGGCAGTTTTGCTGGCAGAATCCCAAATTAAAGTCGGCTGCTATGGGAGTAGACAGTTTGGCGTGCTTACATCCTGCTGCCAGGAGCCCCAGCTAGAGTGAGCTGCCGCAGTTGATAGAAGTGGCAGCAGGAGGCACATGCATCCTGGTGCCAGGTTCCCCTGCTAAGCCAGGCTGACTTAGTTTCTGGAGCTGCATGGCAGGGAGTGTTGACCTAATGTTGTTTGTCCTGTATAACGTAGGCTGCTGTGCTGTTGCTTAAAACCCTTCATTCCGGCCTGCTAGCCAGCAGCTTCATCTCTTTTTTTGATGATGATCAAAAAATCTGATGTTCCTCCTCTCTTTCATTCAGCTTCTTCCTTTCATTTGTCCCGTCTGTTTGTTGTAGAAGCCCTGCTTTTTGGTAGATTTGGTAAAACCCCCTCAGCTCCATTGTAGAAAATATAAAAAATATTCTAACGGTGTAAAACTCTCATTGCATGAATTCACATTCTGATTTGCAGATGTGCACATTGTGTCTATGATTATACATTTTAATATTTATAGCAACTGTGTGAATGTGTTTTTCACCAAATTCACTTCAACAAATGCAGCAGAATTTTTTTTATTTGCAACATTTATTTATTTTCATACACGTGTGGCTACAAACACACAACAGCAGTCTCCAAAATGACAGTTGAATCAACACATCTCAACACAAACAGGTTAAAACCATCGTGAAGGAGGATTTACTGCAGGACTTTTGGATTAGACTTCAGATTGAGAGCAGTAGCACACACGCTCAAAGCAAAAGGAAGCAGACAGAAAGATTTATTTTAGAGAGAAAGCAGTTTCCATCCAGAATCTCTCACACAGAGAAGATGAGGAGATGGATGAAGAAGAAGAAGAAGGGGGAGTGAGCAGGAGCGCCTCCGCTGGTAGTCGGTATGTTGGCGGCAGCTGTGCTGGTGCTGTTGGTGTTGCTGATGGAGGCTGGAGATTAACCAGGAAGGTGGTGGTGTTGGAGGCCTTGTTTCCACCTATTAACCCCGCTGCCTGGAACCGAGAGCCGCCCTGCTCACCACCAGATCACTCTGAACAAACAAACAGGAAAAATAAGTTCAAGTCCAACTTTTTGTCAAGCTGTAAATAATTCTAATATTTATGATCAATCTCTCCTGAACGAGCAAATTTCCAGAAAGACCACATGTCTCAATCATTTAAAGTGAGACTATAGGTGCGTTTGACTTCATGAGGCGAGTCACAGCGCTGACTTATCGTGATGCAGGCTGGACTTAACATAAAGCATGCTGGTTAGAAATTGTGTCCGACTTTTGCCGGTGCTGTAAAACGTCACCATGTCACATGACATTAAAACCTCCCGGAGCAAGGCGGCTGAACTTTTCTGCATTCGGCGACCGCAGTTGCTCCTGGGGTCTCATTTCTAAACGGTGTGTATGTACAAAAGAGGGCTGGAAAAGTGTGTAAGCCACTTCCCAGCAAAGGTTGTCATCTTTAAAAAAAACAGAAAAAGAAACGGTGACTCACATGGCAGAAGGATGAAAGTTTTAAATGGATACGAAAATAAATGTAAATATTACCTCTGAGTATTATAGGCCTATAAATCTTAATATAATGTAATAATATTAAGTCATTTTCCAAACAGATGAAAGCCTTTCTTAATAAACAAACTCCCATTTGATCGATTTTCCCAGAGATGTGCAATAAAAAAACATTTAAGATCATTTGCAGCTCAAACAAAAAGAAACACGATTTAGGATAAATCATGCAAAATAATGCAGTGCAATTTTTTCTCATAAGGAGGAAAAATTGCATTTAAATTGATGCCGTTTTTGTTGTTTCAGTCGAGCAAATACGATTGCATAGTTACATATATTGTTATCAGTGTTCGTTGCTTTATTACATTTGAGCCAAAAAACATGATCTAGAAAAATATAATAATAACTATTATAATAACTAAAATAATAATTACTTTATTAAGTAAATCTTTCAGTTCTTTTCAATGTGGGAATCCAAATCATCTACCTGGGTCATCCCGTCTTGCATGTGTGTGCCCCTCCACCTCCGTCACTACTCAGGAGAATTGACCCTTCTGGCAGATCACTTATAAAGGGGTTTTCCTCCGGTGCACAATTGTTGCGTGAAAGTGCGTTTATTACCCACCAAATAACTTCAGCTTCACCAAAAGGAACGTCAGTGTCACACAAGTTAAATTTCTTTTTGTAGCTTTACTGTCAGATTTTGCCTCCTTTTCTCCCTGCAGTCAGTACATATTAATATTAATGAGGGGCGTCTCACTGACCATTTATAGGCAACTGTGGACGTTTAAAGGGTCGAACATGGATCTCGCTCACATGCGCCACAAGTTGATTGTGATTTATAAAGGGAAATCGGCGTAGGACATGTGCGCACACTGTTTTATAAATCAGAATATTTTTGTGTCTATGCACTTCCTGTGCTTTGTACGTATGCAACCTGGAGTCTTTTCTATGTACAGTTTAATAAATGAGACCCCTGGACTTTACTAGCTCCTGTTTTCTGCTATTGTCAAAACTTTCTGCACATTCAAAACCTATTCCACATATGTGTTCTCTGACATGTCATATTACGAAAATAATTTCATCATTTAATGAGAATTCATTATATTATACACAGCAAACAACAGTTGTTAATGAACGCAGGAGTTCCTTCTCTCAGTAAAAGAACCGTGGAAGAACTTTTTCTGCAGGTCTTAGACCTTTATGTTGCGTACAACTTTGGGCTCCAAAATTGTGTTAAAAAAAATGTGTGCGTAAACACAAAAGAGAACCAACAGAAACAGAAGAAACACTCTGCTCTCAGTCGGTGTGGTGGACTTTCACCTAGTTAGGGAGTTAGTGTGCCAACTTCTGTACCTCAACCTACATTTCAGGGTGATAATGGAGAGACTTCTGTGATCAACAACCAAAGTGCCAAATTTCCATTGTAGTTATGTTTGGCGGTATGGCTCTGTTCTGGGATCTGCCTATGTGGGGAACACCTCCCTGCCCATCATGTGCATACATGGAAAGCCTGAGGCTGAGAGCAGCAATAAAGAAGCCCTGTACAGAACAGAGCAGGCATATGCTGAATTATGTAATAATCAGGTAGAAGGTGGTCCTGAAATACTGTGTTAAATGGGCTGAAGTCGGTACGTTTATTATCAGGCTGTGGCCTCTGCTGCTCCGTGTCGCCTTGCACATGAACACACATGTGGGCATGCACCCCCACCCAGCGCAGAGAGAGGCTGCGGTGGAGACTCTGAACTCTGAACTACTCGAGTTGGCGACAGTTACCCGTTACTGTTACTCGTTACTGTAGTACGCGTAACAGAACCTCCCGGTAAAAGACAATGCTTTCTAGAAACATCTGTTTAACAAGCACAACTTGTAGAAGGTTTATTGTTCTGCTCTGTCTACGTCTTGAATCCTCTGTTATAAAAGCACACCGCACTAACTCTAGCTTGGCAATTAGCTAAATGAAAGCAGTCTGTAGTTTAACTGTTTAGCTTAGATTGCCAGGTAGCCTCAGTGCAGGGATCACAGCAGAGACAGAGGGAAGGAGGACAGGAGGGAGGTCTGATGCCACTTCTGAAACAGTGAAAAACATCCTAACTTTGGGTCTAGCTGCCTGCACTGCTTCTGTTTGGCTCTATCCATGAGTAGCAATATGACGCACAGAGTGTGACACCAGCAGCGGTGTGGGAATTTTGGGGTATAATAATATCACAGAGTATCATCTAGACCTGCTATGAGATAACTGTTGTTGTGATATTGCGCTATTTAAATATAATTGAATTGAATTGCTAGCACTGTTGATTCTTATCGGCTAAATTCTCTGCCAAAATCCATTTCCCGCAATGATTCTGATAATGAAATATGCCCAATGGGATCCATAATTAAGCTCGGTT